TAGACTCAAGTATAAACTCAAGCAATGTTTGCTCAGACTCAAGTGTAATAAAAAATAGTTTTCAATATCATATAAACTAAAAAGTATTGATATATCATAAAATGAACTAATCCATCCAAATTCAACCAAACGTCCTTCCCTGACCAGAAAAAGTTCATCTATTCTAAAACATCTTTCAAAGAAGTGAATTTCTCACAATAGCATCACATAGAAATAAATTTTTCCAAGTTAGTTCATAAAAAAGCTGTTTCTTTTGGTTGGAATTTATAAAATCTTTCTCTTAAAAGAATTTTTCAGGGAAATAGGTTTCTGAAGACCAGTAACTGTTATTGCTCTTTCTAGTATTAATGGGAATTTCCTTCCTAATCTTTTGTTTGAATTGGTGTTGAAGGTTAACAACTTATGCTGTTATTTTCTCTTTAAGTTACCCATTTCCCTTTTTACTGCAGTTTGAAAACCTCATTTGGTACAGTTCTTTGTGATTCCAAAAAGTTTCAGAGACATTTCATTTGCTCAAAGTGATTTTTAACCATTGATCTGAAAAAGCAGTTATATACAGCTGACAGTTTCCATATTTTTGATGGAATTTAATGCCATGCATATGAATGTCCTTATCTGACGAGGTCATTTAAAAGTATGACTCAAGTTTCATGTTAATGTTTTGGTTTAGTAGCTTCTTGGGGCCACCGAGTAAATACAATCCTGAAATCTTCATTCTTTTGCAAAGTTACAGCTATATTAACCACACGTTTATTGAAGCCATCCTTTTCTGAAATTAATGAAATCCAGAAGCCACAAGGCCACAAATCCCATTTGCTCCTTGGACATTCTTCTAGCAGTTAAGTTCACAAATTTAAATTATACTTGCAAGATTTTTTTTACCTGTTGTGCATGCACCACTTTGTACATTAAACCCATTGAATTTAATACTGTTGTTGAGTTGCTGCTCTTTTTCAAGTGTGTCCATCTTTGCCTTTGACTCTGTGGAACTTAACTGCAACCAAGGAAAATCTTTATATGACTTCAGTCACTTTCTTACTGACATGATGACGTTTCCCACTGACTTTTCTACAAATATTTTCATGACAATTGTTCTGATATAATGTCCATAATGTCTCAACTGCATGAATGCTACTCGATTGGCAATTAGGTTTCACCATTTTACTGTTGAACTAGCTAGATGAAACCATCTCTTCTAGTCTAACAGCTTTTTTTTTTTTTGTACTTCTCACCTGTGGAACTCCCTTCTAGTTTCTTGCTTCCCTGCTAACTAGCTAACTACAATGTACAAAAATTTAAATGAGTGTAAATCACCATCTCCTATCGTCCTGAATTCTGTTGCTGTATTTTCTTTTCTCATCACTAATGTCTCCTCATTTTCTTTCACTCCCTCTAACCCCGTGTTTTACTGTTATTATTATCTAGCTTGGCACAAATAATTTAAAAAGTGTTAGCTGCATGGACTCACCATTTTACAGTTAAACTAGCTTAGATGCAACCATAATTTCTATGCTAACAGCTTTCTTTTCTCATACTTCTTGCTTGTAGAACTCTTTTCCGACTTCTTGTTTTATCTGCAAAAATTTAAATGCAAAGACAATTATTATCATCTGCCTTCTTAATTCCAGTTATTTATTGTTCTCTCTCCTTAATAATGCTTTCTTTTTCTCATATTTTCTCACACTCAGTAACCCTTTGCATCTTAGTGGTTTAAGCACAGTACTAGATTGGTAGAGAAGTCTCATCATCTTACAGTTGAAATGGCTACATGTAACCATAAGTTCTATGCTAATAGTTTCTTCCCCCACATTTCTCTCTTGTTGAATTCTCTTTCGTCTTCTTGCTTTCAAGTCAACTTTGATCTTCAAAAATTTAAATGCAATGTCGATTGTTATCATGTCTTCTTAATTCCTGTTCATTTTATTGCTCTCTCTCCTTAATATTGTTTTCCTTTTCTTATATTCTCTCACACTCAGTAACCCTGTGCATCTTAGTGGTTTTATCACCTTACTTGGGGTTTAATGATTAAAAAATTCTTTCATTGTAATTGTTCTGATGAACTTACCTCTTTTTTTTTTAAATGTAGTTATTTCATCCCCTCACTACCACACACAGACAAATTGTACATATGGGAATTAGTTAGGACTTCATAGAGACTATGAGGTATTATGGTGACTGTAATAAGAATGGTAAGTAAGAATGTGTTGTTTTGGTATAAGGAATATTGTGGTATGTTTGGGTCAGTAATTGATTCTAGATAAGTTTAAGATAAGACAGATTGAAGACCAGCTCTCCTTTATCCCCACTGTTTGGCCTTGTGCCACATTTTTGTATTTTTCAAAGTAAATATTACTTTCCTCTTTGGCACCTAAACTTAATGAATTTAAACACAGTACTAGATTGGTAGCAAAGTCTCGTCATCTTACACTTGAAATGGCAAGATGTAACCGTAAGTTCTATGCTAATAATTTCTTCTCTTGTGCTTCTTCCTTGTTGAATTCTCTTTCATCTTCTTGCTTTCAAGTCAACTTTGATCTTCATAAATTTAAATGCAATGTCAATCATTATCATCTGCCTTATTAATTCCTGTTTTTTTATTGCTCTCTCTCCTTAATAATGTTTTCTTTTTCTTGTATTCTCTCACACTCAGTAACCCTGTGCATCTTAGTGGCTTTATTACTTAGCTTGGGGTGAAATGATTTTAAAAAAAAAAGGTAGATAGATATTGCAACAATAACAGAATTCGTAACTTTCCAAAAAATAATTTGACCATGGTACTTTTGGAATTTGATGCATAAAATTTAAGGTCAGGATACTTCAGAGATGGAAGACATACATAAGAAAATTCTTCTACGATGAAAGAACAACCAGCAATGCACAGAAATATCGATGGGCTAGAATTATTAAATATGAAGCCAAATCAGTACTGGCCCAATTGAACAGAAACAAAACAGCAGGAACAGACAAAATTGTCAGAGATGCTGGCAGCCATAGATGATTTCACCATTGACAAGATTACAGAAATAATAAATGAAATGGTATGTGACAATAGTGATATACCAGAATACCAATGTATATCTATCTTTATAGCACAAATTAGCCAGAAGCAAATAAATGTGAACACCATCAGACATTGGTGGTCACAATTTTAACAACAGAAGATATGCAGATGACAGTGTTGATAACAGACAGAGAAAGGCAACTACAACAGTTACAGAAGGTAATAAAGAAAAGCAAGAAGAAAGGACTAAACCTCAACTGCAAGAAGATACAGTGCATGGTTAAAAGGAACAGCTCAACATTACAAAATGGGGATGCCAAAATCAAATAAATACAACAATCTAAATATCTAGGAAGTGATTTGACAGAGGACAGAAAGTATGACACTGAAAGCAAATGTACATTGTGATAGTGAAAGATGCCTTCCAGAAACTATGCAAAGAATTAAGAAATAGGAAAATTTCATAAGGGATAAAAAAAAGAGTGTTGAACTGTTATGTAATATCAGTCCTTCAATATGGCAGTAAATGCTAGACAATCTCCTCAAAGAAGAGACTTGAAGCAACAGAATGTGTTTCTACAGAAGGATGCTGAGGATATAATGTACCAAACATGTGAGCAATAGCAAAGGTTTTTGGCAAAATGGAGACAAAAACGACACCTATACTTAACAGCAGGAAGAGATAGTTGAAATTTCTATTGCACATAAGGGCTTGGAAAATTTGATACTCATAGGACATATATAAGGCAAGAGAGGCAGAGGAAAACTGTGTATATCCCACCTAGTCGGCTTGAGTTAATGTATGACAGAACAAGGTTTAGGAGAGATAACAAAAAGAGAAAAATTATTAAGAGCTACAAAATCAGGAAATTGTGGAGAGCCATGATCACCAATGTTCTGAAGGGACATGAATATAATTTCTTCTTTTCCTCTGCAACCATTCCTACATAAAACCATGGTTTTGGATATCAACAGAATGGTAGAATTTCTTATAGAATTGATACTTGCAAGAATATATATTACTGGTGCAAAATGCGATGTTATAGATTAGTCATTTTGGGTGTGACTGTATTGGGTGGTAAGGAACTAGAATTCAGGTTTTAGCAATTTATTTATTTCTTCATGTTAGGGATGTGTTTAAGAATGAGGAGGCCAATGCCTTATGGGTAAGTTTTTTTTTTTTACCTTGTTCCTGACTGATCAGCCCATATACAATTGTGATTGGCACTTCATCCAGTATTTGTGTCTTACAACATTTATTGTGAATTATTGACATTCTGACTGCCCATGAACCATTTTTAGAGGTTTCAAATCTTTTTGGTTGCTTTTTTTTTATGAGTAGAGGTGGGTTCATTTTTTTTTTTTTTTTTCAGAGATGGGGTCATTTTTGTTGTTGATGTTAATGGATATCATCTTTGTTTGCCCATCTATTTATTTCTTACATGATTTTTCTTTTCCCTTCGCCACCTCCGTTTACCTTGTTGGGTCAGCAGATTTGGACAAAGGAGTTTTTTTATCACTCTTTTTTCTCTAAAGGCTTTTTCACTTCTCCAACACTGACCCAAGCTATTGCCATGCCAACCATAAAAGCCAACTGGTCATTCAACATAAAGATGAATAGAGTATTAAAAGAAAAAGCAAGACAAATTATTAGAAACATGAAGAGGGGTGCCTAAAATGAGGTGTGGGGAGGGGGCATAACAATGATAGAAGTAAAAAAAAATGATTAGGTGGAGGAGAAGGAGGAAAAAGTTAGAGGAGGTGGAAGAAAAGTAAGAAGAAAAGAAGAAAAATCAGTTTGAAGAAAAATGTGAAAGAAAGATGACAGAAAAAGAAAGAATAAATAGAGAAAAATGTGAAAGGAAAGACAAAGGTGAAGAAAAGAAAAAAGGAAAGCAAAGGAAGAGGTGAAGAAGAAGAAGAAGAAGAAGAGCAAAGACAACAGTAAGAAAAGATGAAGAACAAACAAGAGAAGAAGAAGAGAACAAATTAATAAAATTTAACAAGAAGAGAAGAAAAGGAAAAATAAAAATAAAAAGTAGGATGAAGAAGAGGAAAAAGCATTTAGCAAGAAAATGGAATAAAAAAGAAAAAAGCATAGATAGGTAGACATATAGATAATGAGACACATAGAAGGATAACAGACAGATAGATAGATAGATAGATAGATAGATAGATAGATAGATAGATAGATAGATATAGATATACAGATTGAGATAGATAGATAATGAAAAGAGAAAGATAGATAGATAGATAATGAAGAGAGATATAGATATAGATATAGAGATTGAGATAGATAAATATAGATATAAGATTGAAATAGATAGATAGTTAAATAGATAATGAAAAGAGACACAGACAGATAAATACATAGATATTTAACACAGATAGAAAGATAGACAAATAGCTAATGAACACATTGAGATAGATAGATAGATAGATAGATAGATAGATAGATAGATAATGAAAATAGATAGATAATGAAGAGAAATAGATATATTGATATAAAGATTGAAATAGATATAAGATTGAGATAGATTGATAGATAATGAAAAGACAGACATAAATAAATAGATAAATATGGAACAGAGATAGATAATGAATATATTGAGATAGATAGATACTGAACAGAGATAGATAGATAGATAGATAGATAAATAGATAGATACTGAACAGAAATAGATAGATAGATAGATAGATAGATAGATAGATACTGAACAGAGATAGATAGATAGATAGATAGATAGATAGATAGATAGATAGATAGATAGATAGATAGATAAATATGAACAGAATGAGATAGATAAACAGAGACAGACAGACAGATAGATAGAAAGAATTAAAGAAATGAAGAATGAGATCTCTGAAAAAGGAGAAGGGATTTAGAGAAAGAAAAATTATAGTTCAAACTGCCCCACCGCCACACACCAATAAATGATGATAATTGGTACGGGACAATCTCTTTGTCAAGGGATCAATCAAAAAACATCAAAATAACTTAATTGTTCTCAGTGCATTCAATCCATACTCTTAAACAACATAAGAATTAATTAGATATATATAGACATTACATTTACACTCATGTACACACACACACACACACATACACATCCATGCATTCACACATCCACAGACATTTTTACATATTCAATGAATTCTCTGAAAATAATTCCTCTTATTTATTTCAATGGATAGTTCAAAACTATGGCAATTACAATGGATACTTGAAGCACAATAACACCATTAGATAGAAAATGTTTTCTGCTTTTTTTTTAATGATTTCACTTCAGTCAAGGAACTAAAGACACTAAGACACAAGGGGTTACTGTGAGTGAAATAGCTGACAAAAAAGTTAGTGAAGAAAAAGAACAATAAAAGAATATGATTCAAAAAACAGATGATGATGATTAACATTGTATTCAGAATTTTGAAGATTGAAATAAAAAGAGAATTCGACTAGTGAGAAGTGCAAAAGAAGAATCTATTAGAATACAATTTATGGTTACATCTCACAATTTCAACAGTAAAATGATAAGACCTAGCTGCCAATCTAGTACTGCACTTAAATTTGTGAAGTCAAGGTACCAAATAGGAAAGCTGATCAGAACAATTATCATGAAAATATTTGTAGAATATATACATAGAAGCTACATTAAGGCAGTGGGGAAAGTAACTGTAACCGAAATGCCAGTTCAGGATTGATAACATTTCAGATTCTTCTTTGGATTTTGTCAAGAATCTCTAGATATATAGCAGAAGCACAAGAGTAGATTTGGCAACAATATTCAATGCATGGAAAAATGATTGAAAAATAGATTCTGACAAGAAAACCAATATTCCTAGCAGCAGACATAGCAGACATCTCTCCAATTTATGTAAATGGAGAACATTAGACTGAGAAGGTACAATTAGTCAGTCTGCTGGAGGTTAGCATTAGCCATACTGATAGAAGACATAAAATATTCTCAAATATGACTAAAAGACAACAATTTCATTTTGGGATATGCTGAGCAGCAGTTTTTTGCACTTGGGACTATTTCCTGGAATTTTCTGTCTCACCAGAGGCTTATGGCATATCAAATATCATTGGGGGTGTTATGGTTACATCTAGCCAATTCAATTGTAACAATGAAACCTAAGTGCTAATCTAGTAATGAGCTTCAATTTGTAAAGTCGAGGTACCAAAAAGGAAAGCACATCAGAACATAGATAAGACACAGGGAATCTACATTATGATGATAGGAAAGTGACTGATGCCGTGTTGCCAGGTCCAAACAGATAACATTGCGGATTCTTCTTTGGATTTTATGAAGAATCTCTGAATGCATAGCAGAAGCATCAGAGCAGATATGGCAGTAGTATTTAATGCCTGGACAAACGATCATCTTATAAATATCTAAGATATATTCTGACAAGAAAAATTGTCTAGCATAACATAGGGAAACAACATTCATAGTAGGAGATCTTGAAATTGATTCAATATAATTTTTCCACTTCATGTCAGCAGAAAACATTAGCCTGAGAAGATGCAATGAGTCACAATATTGGAGGTTAGCATCAGCTATATTGACAAAAGGCTAAAAAGGTTCAATAAGATGATTAAAAGTGAGCAGTTACATTTTAAAGACATTAAAATTAACACACCATTTTCCCCAAGGTAACTAAAGATTGATGTCATTTTCAATTTTACTGCAAATTTTGCTTTATCTGACTTACCATTAAGACAGGTGTATATAGTTACCTACAGGCATAAAATTAAAACATGTGTATATAGTTACCTGTCAGACTTACTATTAAGACAGGTGTATATAGTTACCTATCAGACTTGCCAATAACACAGGTGTATATAGTTACCTATCAGACTTAACATTAAAATAATTAAAGGTAATGTAGAGTTACCTATATAGTTATCTATCAGACATACCAATAACCCAAATGTATATAGTTACACCACACCTACCTTTAATTTAACAAATGATAATATATACTTACCTATATAGTTACCATTAAGTTACCTATTGGTAATATATAGTTACCTAACAGACTTACCATTAAGAATGATGTTGACAGTTAACTACAATTACAATTAAGATAGATGTATATAGTTACCTATTTAACTTACCAATAACACATGTATATAAGTACATATCAGACTTACTATTAAGTTACCTAATAGTAATATATAGTTACCTATCAGATTTACCATTAAGCTAGTTATATATAGTTGCCTATCAAATATACCATTAGAGTTACATATATAGTTAATAATTGGACATGTATATATAGTTATATATCAAATTTATCATTACGTTACATAATGGTAATATATACTTACCTATATTTGACTATCAGACATATGATTAAGTTACCTAATATTAATATATAGTCACCTATCAGACTTAAAATTAAGACAGGTATATATAGTTACCTGCCAGACTTACCATTAAAACATTTGGACAGTTGTATATAAAACATACCATTAAGTCAGGTGTATATATTTACCTATTAGACTTAACATTAAATTGACTAATGGTAATATAGTGTTACCTATATAGTTACCTATCAGGTTTCCTGCTCCATACTTTACAGCCAACTTTAATCTGCAAAAATTTAAATGCTATGTCAATTGCTATCTATTGTCCACCTGATTCCTCTCTCTTCTTTCTGCTCATCATTAATATTTCTTTTCCTAATTCTTCCACATCCTTTAACCCCTTGTGTTTTAGTGACATTACTGCCTTGCTTGGGTGATTCAGATTAAAAAAGAAAAAGTAAACTAATGTTAATATATAGTTATATATCATAATTACAATTAAGACTATATCATTCCAACCATTAAGACAAGTGTATATATATATTTGCCTATTAGAATTAACATTATATTAACAAATGATAATATATAGTTACCTATATAGTTTCCTATCAAACTTACTATTAATACCCAAGTATATATTTACACATCATATTTACCATTAAGACAGGGAAATATAGTTACCTATCAGACTTGCCATAAAGACAAGTGTCTATCAGACTCAACTCTTAGACTTACCATTAAGTTACTTAATGGATATATATAGTTACCTATCATAATTATTATTAAGACCAGTGTATAAAGTCACCTATCGGACTATTATGACAGTGGTATATCAAACCTCTCAAACTTACAATTAAATCAGGTGTATATAGTTACCAGTAAGTTATCTAATGCTAAAATATTGTTAGCTAAATAGTTACCTGTCAGATGTACGATTAAGATAGGTGTATATAATTATCAGACTTAAAATTAAGTTAACTAATGGTAATATATAATTACCTATACAGTAACATATTAGACTTAACCTTAAGACTGGTGTATATAGTTAATTTTCAAACTTACCATTGACTTAAGTAATGATAATATATAGTTACATATGGTAATATATAGTTATATATAGTTTGATTAATTACCTTTCAGACTAAACCAAGAGTTAATTATATATAATTACCTAACAGATTTACCATTAACACAGGAGTATAAAGTTACCTATCAGACATAACATTAAGTTACCTAATAATAATACATGGTCACCTATACAATTAACTATTGGACTTACCAGTAAGGTACCTAATGTTAATATATAGTTACCTATATAGTTACCTAACAGAATTACCATTAGAACAGGTCAATATGGTTACCTATCAAACTTAGATTAATTTACTTAATGGTAATATGTAAGTCCCTCTATAGTAAATTAATGACAAGTCTGATAGGCAACTATATACACCTGTTTTGTTTGATAAGTAACCTTATTCATCTGCCTTAATGGTAAGTCTGACAGGTCACTATAAACACCTGTCTCTATTCTAAATCTCATAGATAACTATATAGGTAACTATATATTACCATTAGTTAACTTAATGCTAAGGTTGATAGGTAAATATATATTTGTCTTAATGTTATGTCTGATAGATACATGTGATAGGTTAACTATATACACCAGTCTTAAAGGTAAGTCTGATAGGTTAATATAGGTAATTATATATTGCCACTAGGTAACTTAATGGTAAGTCTGATAGGTAAATATATACATCTGTTTTAATGTTAAGTCTAAGTTAAGTTAACTATATATTAACATTAGGTAACTTAATGGTAAGTCTGATAGGTAAATATATACATCTGTTTTAATGTTAAGTCTAAGTTTAGTTAACTATATATTAACATTAGGTAACTTAATGGTAAGTTTGATAGGTGTGTTTTTGCGGGTGTTTAAATGGTAAGTGTGATAGGTTAATATATATGTAAATACATATTACTATTAGGTAAATTAATGTACATCTGATTAGTCACTATATACACCTGTCTTAATGATATGTCTGGGAGGTAACTATATAGTAAACCATAATGGTAACTATATATTACCTTTAGTTAACTTAATGGTAAGTCTGATAGGTAACTATTACACCTGTCTTAATGGAAAGTTTGATAGGTAACAATATAAACCAATCTTAAAGGTAAGTCTGATAGGTAACTATATAGTTTTTTGTACAGTTAACTATATATTACTAATAGTTATGTTAATGGTAAATCTGCTTGGTAACTATATACATATGTCTTAATGTTATACTTGATAGGTAATTATATACCACTGTCTTAATTGTAAGACTGATAGGTAACTATTTCTGTAACTATATATTACCATTAGGCAACATAATGATAAGTCTGATAGGTAACTATGTACACCTGTCTTAATGATAATTCTGAGAGGTAATTATATAGCTAACTCTATATTACCATTACTCAACTTAATGTTAAGTCTGATAGGTAACTATATACAACTGTCTTAATGGAAAGTCTGGTAGGTTACTATATAAGTAACTATATATTACCATTAGCTAAATAATAAATCTGATAGGTAACTATATACATCTGTTTCATAGGTTAATATATAGGTATGTATCAACTGAAGGTATATTAACTGAAAGTAATATATAGTTACTTATATATTGACCTATAAAACTTGACACTAAGAGAGGTGTATATAGTTACCGATCAGGCATAGCTTTAAGACACAAGTATATAGTTACCTATCAGACATAGCATTAAGACACATTTATATAGTTACCTATCAGACATAGCATTAACACACATTTATATAGTTACCTACCAGACATAGCATTAAGGCACATTTATATAGTTACCTAAGGGACAT